CACATATATGTGTAGCTATACAAATGATTTATTTCACAAGAAAAAAATTTAGATTAGGGGGGACAAAACTTGATTCATATCATGTATCTATATACTTGATTTTTACTTTAATTTTATTATTATAGAAACTCCATTTTAGCTAATTTCAACACAGTTTATTTCTTTTCTCATTATTTACAATATCTATATTCTTTTTACATTATTCAGACTATTGTCTTCATCTTTGTTGCCATATTTATCACAATGTTTCGGCTGTTGTATGCTCTGGCTTTCTTCAGGTGGTTGGAATGTCAAACTGAACCCTTTATTTCACTCGCTGGTGTAGACTGTTTTAGTTCCATATAATGCCTTTATACACTGTACCATGTATCCTTAAGGCACAATGGATTGGTTAGATCCAGTGACAGGACCCAAAGAGTATGAGTTCAATAGTTGGTTAAGGCAGTGAAGAACTTGGAGAGGAGAATTAACAGGAGATAATTGATAACTGACATCCATTAGACATGGCACGTGGAACTAGAACAGTCTACCCCAGTGAGCAAAATAAAGGGTTCAGTTTAACATTCCAACTGCCTGAAGAAGGCCAGAGCATACAATGGCCAAAATGTTGTGATAAATATGGCAACAATGATGAGGACAATAGTCTGAATAATGTAAATAGTGTACATAATACCTCACCTCAGAAATATATACTTTTTTTTTTTTGTCTTATGTATCCTATATTGTTTCAGCATTAATTTAGTATGAACAGGGAATAAAGTGAAATAGCCTGGTTGTATATTAATCTTTGGGGATTTATAGATTATAACACTTCCAATTCATCTTTGAGTTAATTATATGCACGTTTTATTAAAATGTTTTTTCCAGATCACAAATGTGATCATTAATATTTCAGTACACTGAGTGTATTGTTTAATTTTAAGTACATTTATTCTATTCTTTAAATCTTTGGACATTTAGCCAACAGATTTTTCAGAACATGATTATTTTCTATTTGCTTCTGATATAAAATTAACTTTCTGTTTTATATTGATTAAATTTTAACTGTTTTTGAAGTGTTTATGATAATTTTTATAATTTATAATTTTTTAATAATTATGAATTAGCAAATTTTATTTCAATTTCATTACTTATGGAGATTTTATTTAATATAAAGGGCTTAGCTTATATATATATAAATATGAATATACAATATCACACTTTGAGTGCTTGTGTTCATAAAACTGCTCAATGTAATACAACAGAGCTATTAAGTATATATTAATAAATATACATATTCTTCACTGATAGCATGAATTGAAGTTTCATGTACAACACAATCTTCAAGTGCTGGGTAGAGACTGCCTGTTACATAATTTAAATTTTAATAAAAATATCTGTTTAATGCACAGTCCATATATTATGAGGGGATTATTGGTTTATTTTAAAATATATATTGCATTTAAAAATAGATGGAATTTTTTATTTTATATTTAAAATAAACAGGGACTAATATTTATATATATATATATATATATATATATATATATATATATATATATATATATATATATATAGTTTTATTGTGTGCTATATTTATGGGATAAAGTGCTCAATATCAGAGATAGAGTATGTAAATATAAAAGTGAACATTGAAGTCAACTCTCATGCTTGATGATTGCATCTAGCATGAAACAGTCTGTCACCTGAGTGTTGAATTCAATGTGCACTTTTACATTTGTGTGTGTGTGTGGGTATGAGGAATTATGAAAACTTCTTAGCCAAAAAATCAGTATTCTGATGTTTAGTCATTGAAATCCTGATTTTGGGAAGTAAGTTGGGCCAAGAAATTATCAGAACCTCTCCCTGTTTCTCTCTCTCTCTCTCTCACACACACACACACACACACACACACACACACATTAATTTGTTATCATTAAACGTAGACATTATTTCAAGCTTTACATCTTTCTTATATTTATGATGCTGTTAAGATTTTGGCTAATTCATTCTAAAAGCTTCTTACTGTTTATAATTTCTAAGGAAAGATCCCATTTTCTACATTTATTTGTACTCCCATGCCGATAAAATAAAAATGGGCTTTTTTATAAATGTGGAAATCCACATAAATTTTCATGTGAATTTGATACCCAAAATTGACCAGTTCCTATTAGTATATTACTTCAAGTATGCCACTGATGCTATCCTATTAGTGAAATGGGGAGGTACTGCCTGGGAAACTGCTTCACTGGAACTCAGGGTCTCTTGTATTTTATCCAAAACAAAATACCAACTGGATTGATTCACCACCCACAACACATAACACAAATGATTCAATTCATTGCAACTTGTTTAACGTAGATAATTCTTACTTATACACAAGGGTGTTTCCTAACCTTTTCCTTGTTATGATAAGAACATTATAAACACAAACATAGCATTCACTTGTCCAAACAAAGCTTGGAATGTTAATAACTCTTCTCAAAATTATAGAAAATATCTCTACAGGTTAAATGTATTTTGCATGCTTTTATTTTTTTTCTTTGCAGAGTAATGTTACTATCCATTGCAAAATTTGAATATGAATAAATAATTTCATAGTAAAGATTTCCTTTTTTGAAATCTCAACATTGTGAAAAGGTATTAAAGTACAAAAATAGTACAAAATAATCCTTGAATACCAGCAACAATTTGTATATAATATTTATTTAAATAAAGCAATGGACTAAAATATTATTATATTTTTCCATAATTAAGCTTTGAGTATGTAAGTTTATAATTTATGTATTTAGGTAGCAAATTCTCTTTTAGACATATCTGATTAAATAAATTACAAACCTTATGTCTGCTTATTTTTATCATAATCTTTTCATATACACAAATATTTTTCTCTATATTACAATTGGATGAGGCAAGAAATGTGGTCTGTAACAGTGAGAATCACTTTTATATAATTAGAGACAAAGTAACAAAATAAGTTTTACTATTCATGTTAACAATTTATTTAATCTTAATGCATATATAATTGTATCTTTTAAGCAGGAAAATGTATCTTTTGACTACAATCACTAAGATTGTAATATAAAGATAGTATACATCTGGATATAGCTAGAAATACATAGAAAATTAACAACTTTAACAAATTTTTATGTGAAACTTTTAAAAATTGAATGTAATTATAGTAAAAAATATTTAATGTGATGTAAATATCATTATTTCAATTTACTGCTCATATTCCCAGTAATACTTTTATAAGAGTACAAAAATTCAGTCTATACTTTTCAGTAACAATCAATGATGACCTTTAATAATATTTAAATACCAATAATTTTAGCCTAAGCATTGCAAAATCTAAGAGTTTATATGACAACCTGACAAAGAAGAGAAAAACTTGTCCCAAGGAGTATTAATGATTACGAACATCTTAAAAATTCCCATTAGTGTTATTTTTCAAGATTTTGCATTACAAATGAATAAACCATTACTTTATATTACAAATGAATAAGCCAACTTAAAACTGTAATTAATATGAATTCTTTTTTTTTTACTATATCACTGAAATGTAAGAATGTTTTTGTTTTCTTTCTTAATGTGATAATGCAATATCCAAAGATAGAAAATATTCATAATTCAATAATTAATATAAGTAGCATGTACAGATTTCAAGGGCAAGGCAAAATGCTACACAAAAAAGATCTGGGAAAAAACTATTGTAAAGATACAGAAGGTGCTTATCTCCCTTTGGTGGAGAGAAGTCATATGGGTCAAGTGATGGCCGCTTAATGATGTCACTTCATACAGTGATAAAAGCATCAGTCAGTTTCAGTTTTTAGACAGCAGTGAAAGTGAAAGTTTACTTTCTTTAGCCTGGGGTCTCCATGGCCTGGGCAGAGGCTAAATCTGCCAAACCCAGCAGCTTGCAAGTCCATGGTGCCATTTCCCTTTAAAAATATATCTTTCCCTGATACAGAAAGAAACTCCAGCTTGCAGTCCTCAATTTGTGAAGACCCAAGACTCAATGTCTCCCATTTTTGGAATATGTCCTAGTAGAGGAATCTGGTCCATTTGAATCTGAAGTCCTAAACAGGGCTTCTTCAGACACAGGAGTATCTCCATCCCTAGCTCTCTCCCATTAAACTATAAAAGATAAAATCTAAAATAAGTTTGAAAATTTGCTGATTAAATCAAAAACAGATGACAAAGTATAAAAAGAAAATTTTCAACTAGGTTGATCTGAGTAAATTTAAAACCATCCAAGTTTGTATCTAGCTAGATATCAGACTTTGCAATGGGTAAATCAACTAAAAAATACCAACTTGTCTACACAATTCTGTGCCAAGTGACCCCCTTTACCTAAAGATGAAAGCAAAGCTGCTAGAGATCAAAAGATTTACTGACAATTGAAATTACATACCAGCTTCTCTAAGTCAATATCGCTTGTACTTCCTTTTACATCTGTAAACTTTGAATAATAAATTTACTCAATGTATGAATTTTCTCTATATCAAACACATGCATACTTCTATATACATCTTAAATAAGATAAGATAAGAGTTTAGGAGGAAAAGATACATCCATAAATAAATCAACTTAATACTTTTGCATACAAAAACTTGTAAATAATTTACAGTTTTAAATTTTACCACAATTATTGGAAATATATTTACAATGTAAATCATGATTATGGTTATAGAATTTCCATGTGTTCTATTAATAAAAGTTTATAAATTACTTTCTAAAATTTTATGTGAGCATGGTATAATAATAATAATAATAATAATAGAAAGAATTTAAAAGAATACCATGTTGACATAGTATTCACATAGTGCTGTTTATTTAAATTATTTTTAAAATAATTAATATTTTTATTGAGGATAAAACAAAGAATTTGTAAAATTTCTTTAGAATTCTAAGAATTTAAGAAGGCATAAGTATAAGTTGATAGGAAACAAGTTTTTCTTGACATTTCCTTTTATTCTACTTGTTTCAAAAATTGTATTTTGTTTTTCCCCTTATTTCAGTAAAAGGTTGTTCAATGTTGGAGCAAATTCCAAATGGCTTCACAGAGCCTGCAGAATGCCAACGGAGAAGAGTGCATGTATTAGACTTCTGTCAGATCAAGTGCAAACCTGGTTATCGACTGGTTGGAGAGCCAATAACAGAGTGCCTACAGATACAGAAATGGTCAACAAAGCTACCAAAGTGTGAACCAAGTAAGAAATCTTTTTTGTTTTACCCTTTTTTAAATGGGAATCAGTAATCTACTATTATTGATACTGATGTCAGCTTACTGCTTTTACTGTATAAGTCAAAATGTTTAGGAGCATTTAGTTTGAATTAACTTTATTCAAAATGATATTATATGGATAACTGTCATACTAGCATGGCTTTGTCTATATTCTTTCAGAACAAGGAGATGATGGCGCTCCATAGCTTCCTGTCTTTTGTCGCCCTAACTAATACTTATTTCTTTATGGCTCCTCTTTATCACTGGTTTGCTCAAAATTACCAAATGGGTTACTTGCAGTTTCCCTTGTCTTTGATATGCTTTGTAAGTGTTAAATTCTCTTGGCTTTCTTTCAGTGTCTTGTAAGTGTTAAATTCTCTAAGCTTTTTTTCATGATGTGTTTTGTACTTATTAAATTCTCTAAGCTTCCTTTCATTATATATTTTGTAATTGTTAAATTCTCTAAGCTTTCTTTCTTTATGTGTCCAAGAAACTTCAGTTCTCACTTTTTGATTAGTAGTTCCTTTGTAGTATCAATTTCTTCTGAAAACATCCTCATTTTTCACATGATCTATCAATGATATTCTTAACATTAGTCAGTTATCTTTTAAAGTCTTTTCTTCCTTTGCAATTAAATTGTCCATCATTCACTGTCATATAAGAGCTTAAACATTACATAATATGCTAACACTTCTTTCCTTGTTTCTAAGGAAATGTTTTTATCTCTTTTGCTCAGTCTCTGAATAGTGTCTTACCTATGTCACTTCAGATTTCTGTGTTTCCTTCATATGTTATTATACTATCGAGATAGTTAAATGTCTGCATCTGTTTGATTTTGTTATCCCCAATGTGTAACTCACACATTGAGCTGTCCGTTTTGATCACCACCATGCATTCTGTTTTTGAAGTTTATAGTACTTTCTTCTTGCTTTTATCAACTACCTTGATTAGATATTTTAAACATTATGTCAAACCTGTTTGTTTGTTTTGTTTTACGGCATATCAACCTCAATGGGTCATTTAATGCCGACAACTTTTTTTTTTTTCTGGTAATATTTTTGTTTTGTTAAAAATTTATTTCTGTTATTATTTTTCAAAAATGTATAGCTGGTAATATTATTTTTTCAAAAACGTATTATCAGAAGCCTTGCTGTTGGATATAGTTTATCATCTTACCCAGGACATGGATGTAGTTTATCATCATACCCAGGATGTCGATGTAGTTTATCATCATACCCAGGATGTCGATGTAGTTTATCGTCATACCCAGGATGAGGATGTAGTTTATCGTCATACCCAGGACACAGACGTAGTTTATCGTCATACCCAGGATGTGTCAAAGCTGTTGTTTTTTTTTTAGTATTAAAATTAAAAATAGAAGAAAATAAGCAACATTTTTGAAATATTATGCTTTCTTTTTGACAAAAAAAGTAAATTGTGCACTTTATGGAAAAGATATTGTGAAGAAAATAACTGATTTAAACAATTACTGATCCCAATTATTACAAATATATTAGTTGAAAGCAACTGTTAATGAAAAACACCCAAAATTAATTAAAACAAAGGTCATAGGATTCCATCAAGATAAAACTAGATTGTGAGTTTCTTTGGTGAACAGACAGACATTTACAGCTTGCCTTGGATTTCTTTCACTCATCTAACATAGTCAACAGATAAAACACCTTTGGATTACTATATATTATGGTATTTTAATTCCCTGGAAGGCTGCAAAAAGCACCTCGAGCAGTTTCTACTGAGAAAGACAAACACTTCTGAGAGTATGTATGGAATTACAAATAAAGATGCTTGAATTATATTGAAATAAAATGATCAATATGCTTTTCAGCAAAGATAAATACCAAATAATAAAATAAGCACCTGCTTTTTATTTTTACTTAAAGAACAGAACAAACTTTTTGGTCTGCTCAATATTTTTTAATTTTACTTTGCCATTTACACCTGTTCTACCTGATGGCTTTTGCAGACAGTCAAGTGACATTGAACTCTCAATTGTTCAGCACATTTCACAGTGTTTAAAACTATTTTTAGAACTGTGGTTTGAACATCTGCAAATCTTGAGATTTTAATAAAAATATTACTGCAATCTTTAATAATTGTTACTTTCATATTCTACAGTTTCAGGATCTCTCATGGAAGGTGTTGGTCCTACAAACTGTTATTATAATTTTATATATTTTTATTAAAACTTTTCAAAGTGTTTAATTTGTTCTTATTTAAATATACTTATATTAAGGAATGAAAGTAAGTTTACAAAATATAGTTACAGATTATCTATATTTGATTAACAAACTTAATAAGATTAACAGACAAACTAATTAAGATTAACAACCAAAATTGATTAATGATGTTCTGAGAATGATAAAAACAAAAATCAAATCTTTTTTTAAGTTATATATTGATGACCTATAAATATTTTTTCTGAGTCACCTACATTTTTTAGTATCAAATTAAATTTTTTTATCAAATTAAATAAGGAGTAACGTTTATGGCACAATTTATTTTCTGTTGAAGAGATTGCAATAGAAATATGTCTTGATAAATTTTTAAACTAAGTTTAATTTTATGACATCTTTAGTTTTGCATGATTGTATACAATTAAGTTTCTCTGTTATGTAGTCCATAAATTCAATGCTTTTCATTGTTTTGATTATAATTGGCACAGCTTCGACACCTTTCAACTTACATTTTTTATTTATATTTATTTTTTATTCAATTATATTTTTTTTTTTAAAAAAATACTTTTTTTTTCTCAAATATTTGAATTGTTACATGAATTATTATCGTCATCTTTTGTTTTTATTAATTAAGATTTTCTTTGGTTTATTGCTTTCTGTCTGCATGGGGAAATCCCAGATGATTTTTTTTTTGTTTGTTTTCAACACTGATTCTTTTACAGTTGTTTTGTTTTTTGTTATTTTCATTCCTTTCATCAACTTGCACTTTGGGGGTAACTTGCACTTTTATCATTATTGTTATCATTGTTCTTGTTGTTTTCTAACACTATTGGAAATTTTGCTCTTTGAATAATAATAGAAGCTTAATGATTATATTACTATTAGGTTGTATCAAAAGTATCTTTACTCCAAAATTTAAATTTATTTCCTGGACACATCAAAAAACTATTGATGACTTCCCTTTATTGTTAATACCATATATATATATATATATATATATATATATATATATATATATATATATATATATATATATTACACCAAATAAGACATACTTCTCATTGGTTGAAAATAGATGTATACCCTCTGTGTATGAGATAATTTTGGATTATTTTTTGTTTAATTTATATGCTCACTTGTAGTAAATACATTGAGCTCTTTTGTGAATCTGTTTTAATATTTGATATTACTAGGATCCACTTGGATTATATACCAATGGATTTATTACCTGTATCATATATATATATATATATATATATATAAAGATATTTTTGTAGGTACAAAATTTAATGATCGAAATAAAAGTGTAAAATTTAATATTACAAGACATATTAAAACAATATTAAATAAAAAAAAAACTCAACAACAAGGGGGGGGAAGCAACCGGTTTTCGCTCCCGCTCTTCAGGCTTCACGGGAGATTCAAAATTAAAACAGAGAAATGTACAATAAGAATAGGTGGAAAAATATATATATATATATATATATATATATATATATATATATATTTTATATATGCAAGAAGGAACTAGAGGCAGATGACAACGAGTCCCAGCAAACACTCATGTTGTTTGCACAAAGAAGGCTTGCGGGATCCGATGTAAAGTGCCTCCAGAACCTTCAGATGAAATACAGAGTGTGACCGGGCCAACACGGTGAACCAGTCGACACTAAATTTGGAAGCACAATCTCTGCTATTTAAAAGATGTTCGCATATGGCGGAACTGTAGGTGTTCGGGACGAGTCCATTTTAAAGGCAAGGTGTGTTTTCTAATTTTTAGTAGGAATGTGCTGCTTTATTCTAATGTCTAAGCGCTGAGTTGTTCTCCCTATGTAGTTGGCTCCGCAACTACAAACGTATTTGTAAACAATTGAATTAATATGGTGGGGAGGGAGAACGTCTTTACACGCAGATCGAAACATAGGCCGAGTTTGAAAAATAATCCGAACTTCAGCAGAGAAAAAGCAACAGCGAACCTTTGATGAAATTTGTTTGGCTATTTTTTCACATTTGGTACCAATCCAGGGTAATCTAAGGTAAACTGGGCATTTTTTGACAGTGTAGAGATCAGCACTTCTGAACTCTTCAACTTTACTGTGGATAACTGAATTAACAGTATCAAGAGGATAACCCAAATTACATAGGGTATCCCTAATAAAGTTAATTTCGTCGTTCAGGAAAGGCTCAGAGCAAATCTTTAATGCTCTGTGGAGGAGGGTTTTGATAATGTTGATCTTGCGCTTAGTGGGACAAAAAGAGTCCCAACACGTGTATACCCTGCAAAAGTAGGTTTTCTATAAACGGAAGTAAGAAAACCTGTTAACGTACGATGTACTAATACATCCAAAAAAGCCAATTGATGATTAGACTCTTTTTCGATAGTGAACCTCAGTGCCGGATGGATACCATTTAAAAACGAAAGAAACTGGTCAGCCTCAACTTCACTGTTAAATAAACAAAAGGTGTCATCAACATACCGACAGTACAGTTGAGGACAAAGTGGATTCTTTCGTATTTTTTCTTCCTGGAAGCCAACATATATGTTAGCAAGTGCCAGACCCAAAGGCGTGCCCATAGCGACTCCGTCGATCTGTCGGTACATAGTATTGTTGAAACTGAATTCGACGGATGACGTGGCAAATCTCATCAATTCCCGAAAAATTGACTCAGGAAAACTAGGTGGAGTTAATGAACTGCGATAGAGATAGTCGCAGCAAATATCGATGGTTTCCATCAAAGGGACACAAGTAAATATATAAGGAAGAAACATCGAAAGATCACATGAAGAAAGAAGAAGATAAATTTAAACGCGGTCAACAAAGGAAAAGGAATCCTTGA